CGAAAACATTAGAACACGCATCTATGCATTATGAGGAGGAGGACTAGGCCGCCATCTCAAGCTCCGAGCTGACGATGCGTGATTGGTGCCCTTGGGTGGAGGGAAAAGAGACCGTGAGCGCAGTTGATGAGCTTGAGACAAGAGAGGAAAGGTGCTTCTTGTGTTGCTTGGGACTGGCAGGGGTGCTTGTTGTTGATTGAGAGTCAGCCAATGAGCCAAAACTTTCTGGAATTCGATCAGCTCAGTACGCTTACTGCAGCTGCAATGGCTGACACAGTCCAAAGGTATGGAGGTACCATCCGCCGCTTGCAACTGAGCGCCTGGATCAGCACAAAAGCCAGAGGCTGCCTGCATGCCAGCACGCGTCCTGCTGGAAATGGTCAAAGGCCTCTGCAGGCTGATCTCACGCACAGTCAGAGAAACGGGGTATCCAGCTTTTTAGAGTGAACACCCATGGAACTGCGCATATCTGCCCAAACTTTCCGCAACCTTGGACCAGCTCGCTTCCTGCACCCACAACACATGGCTCGCACGGCCATTCGCACAACAAAGGCAGCTGGCAAATACAACCCCTGACCCATTGCGGGCAGGCGATGTCCCAACCTCAACAGATGGAGGGTGTTTCAGCAAGCGCCAGCCGAACGCTGCTTCAGGGGATCTTTGAAAATGCATCCTGCGCATACGGCACACCAATAGACGGTGGCAGATGCACTGTGGCCCTCATCTCAGGCACAGACCGCAATGCACTGGGCGCCAGCCGTTTGTGACCGTTACAAGCCCTTGCAGCACTGCCTGGTGCGATGAATGGCATCAAGTGCTGCAGTCAGGAGCCCCGCCCCAGCCCCAAGTCTGCTCCAGCCAATCCACTATCTGCCCAGCCTGGTCCCACATGACAACTCGCGCGACGACGCTGCCTCCCGCCTCGGCGCTGGCGCCCCGCTCGTCGCCGCCGACTCCAGGCGCATGGCCTGCATCTGGATGCTGCTGCTGCTGCTGCTGCTGCTGCTGCTGCTGCTGCTGCTGTTGCTGCTGCGAGGAGGTCATTATTGCCAGCGCTTTTTCCAGCGCAAACCCTTTGCGAACAAACAGCACGTCATCTGGTCGCAGAAGCAGCGCTGGACAGAGGTCGTTGCCGCCATCGCCAACATACGCAATCCTATGTTGAGGTGTTTTTGAGCAGCGAGAGCAGAGTTGCAAGGGGAAACTAGGGAGTCCATGGGATGCGCGGCGTCTTGCTGTGCCTGGCAACCACGCCTGCATGGTAGCGCTGAATTGCGGGTTGGCAGGCAGACAGACAGGCGGACGATTAGTCAGGCAGGCAGGCTGGATGTCGCAGGGGCCCCGGCGCGCCTGTTGTACTCGACGCCCTCGGCGGCGCGCTCGCCGATAAACCTGGCCAGCGTCACCCGCTTACACATATTTATGGGGCACCTGTTTGGAACATGCGGGGTGCAGCGGCATCGCAGGAGTCGCACATCAGCTCCTAGGCCGGATCAGATCACCTAGCTGCAGGCAAGGCAAGACTTGCAGCATTCAGGCTGATCCCCGCCCGTCTGCCGCCTGGTGCCCCCTCAGGCCAGCCCGAGGGCCCGCCCGCCACAGCCCCCGCCCCACCCCTCGCAGCCGTGGCCGGGGTCGTGAGGCTCCAGCTGCAGGCGCGCAGAGGCCGCGTCAATCGAAGCAGGGTTTGTGAAGACGCGCATAAATGAGGCCCCGTAGCCCCACGCGCCGAGAGCCCATTGGATGAACAGGCTGTTGGAGTCTGATACAATGACACAGTCAACTGGGTCAGGCAGGGCGTTGGAGGAGCAAAGTCGTGATCTGCTTAAGCCGAGGGCCGCCGGCTAGCGTGTCATGCGTGTGGTCTCTGGTGGCCTCTCACATTGAGAAGCGCTGCTGAATTGCACCTCCACTCGGTCCACGTTCTGTATTGATGTGCTGAAGGTTGCTGATTCCGAGCAAGTGCCACTCGCACCGTCCCCCATCCACCAACACACCCAACCAAACACGCACGCAGTCGCCACTTGCCCACGCCCCCTCAACACAGACAGCATGCATCTGGGCAAATGTGCACCAGAAACGCACCCGTCTCGCTCCGTGATTTCAATGCGTCCAGCAGCCGCGCCATGCCCTCCACCAGCGGCAGCTGCTCAATGACTTCCTGCAGCTCGCCTGCCGTGATGTCCGAGTCATGCATGTGCCCAATGACGCGCCGCATGTACTCAGTCCAGTGGCCGTCGACATACGATGCCTTCAGCTCAGGCGGCAGGCGCCCGCCGGGGAGGCGGCGGAGGATGAATGTGTCGCTGTTTGCATCGGCAATGGTGTGGTCAAAGTCAAACGCAAACAGCTGACGCGGTGGCCCTGCGCTTCCCGCTGTGCTGGTGTGATCGGCGGACGGCCGGTCTGGGGCCATCATGCGGGTGGCAGCAAGGCGTTGCCGGAAGCGGCCGGGCCGCAGGATTGGAAGGCCAAATGCTGCAGCCCCTTTGACGGCTGCCGAGGTCGCTGTGCTGAGGCGACGCAGCGAGACCAGCATGCGCGCTGGTGCGACCTGTGGCAGGTCGATCGCCGTCCTGGGCGTAAAGTGCTGCTGCGCGCAGAGACAGGCAGGGTGCGCTGCAGGATATTTGCAACTGTTCTGCGCCGTTTGAGTAAATCAGTAAGCAGATCCAGCAAATGTAGTTCAAATTGGTGATCTCGAAGCCTCCCAAACGTGGCACTGGTGTTGCCGGAAATGTGCACAGCCCACAGTAGGATTATCGCATTGTCGTTGATCCTTTGTCCATCAAGTACGACGTCACGCGGCATGGCATGCATGAGATACGGGTACTGGTCAGCTCGAGCTGCTGCCCAACAGGAGGTGCTCAGTGCCTCTCATGCCATGTGAGCCACTCGAGCCCCATGATACCATCTGCCTTCCTTCTATTGACAAACAGCCATTGCGGGCAGCGCCAGTCAGAAACCTTGTTGAAACGCCAGCACCGACGATGAAAAGCTATGGGCAGTGGTGTGCTTTTCAGACGCAGTAAGGATGCCGTTGACCTGACGGTATGTGGTCAGTACCGTATCCAATGGTGCTTAAGTGGTGACTGGTGCTGTTGTTGTTTATCTGCAGCGCTCCAAGAAGCCTGTGAAAGGCTGCAAGTGACGCTACAGCCCTGCACCAACGAGCTATTGGCACATGGCCCTGCTGCAAATCCAGAGAAGGGATGGTGGGGCCTTACACATAACAGTTAGCTAAACATTTTATATTGGTTTGCGTGTTGAGTGGAGCTGCCACTCTGGTGGTGCAAGGTTCGCAAGCAGCACCCCTCATACATATCCCTCGACAGGGGGTCTACAGCACACAACAACGACATTCGGCGACGCGTGCGGCTGCACGCTTGGGACTAAGCAGCGTCTGCGTGCAGACACCGTCCGACCGAGGCGGGTCTACGGGTCTGCTGCACCGCCAGCGCTGCAGCCGCTATCGTGCGCTCTCGCCTGCATTCTCCTACAACACGCGCAGCGCACGGCGCCCCGCACAGGGAATCTGGGCGAAAAACCGGGCGCGCTTGCCGCAGGCCGCGTAGGCCTACGACACCAATTCAAAGATCGCTGCCTATACATGAACCAGCTGCGAGGCTGCCAGAGCTATGGCGCCCGCCACCAACATCACCTGCGCACGTGTGCGTTTTGCAGGAAAAACGGCATGTCGTGTGCGTAGCTATATGCACGCGCGCCTGCTTGCGCTGCTGAGCCCCTTGTCTGCACTTCCCTGCGACGTGCAGCGACAACCGCTAGTGCCCATCCGGACGCCCTGCCCCTCTTCCACGCACCAGCAGCCGCGGCGTGGTGGACAGCCCCGCGTTGATGGCACAGCGCAGCGCCATCGACGTCTTGTTGCTGAAGCACACTGTGTCCGAAGACGACTGGCAGACGACGCCGCCCTTCTTGTAGAGCTTTGTCACCTGTGCATTTCATCATGGATGAAGGTGGGAGCAGGGTGGCTTCAGCGTGCGTGTGTGTGAGATAATACAGGGTGTTGCTAGCCCCGTTTTGTTGAAGGCCACGGCCTTGTGCAGCAGCAGCGGCCGAGGCCGCGCGCATCAGCCGCCGGCTTAGGAGGAGCCTCGTGGTAGGGCGGTTAGCCGTCGGAGGTGGTCGGTGCTGCCTCCGCACGAAAAGCGCTTTGCACGTCGAAGTAGAACTGACCTGACCTGCATGCCAACTTCACTGCAGCTACTCGGCGGCGTGCAAGACCACCAAGCCTGCATGCGCCTCGGATTGCAGCCACAAAACCCTGCCGAGACGTTCCACAGTGCAGCTACGGGCACCAAGCTCATCGCTTTGTTGCACCTTGCGCTTGCTGCACAGATCTGGACTGACTTCTGAGCGTCGCTTTTGCAGCGCTGTAATGAGACCGTGAAATCTGCCCCAAATGGCGTCACAAGCCAGGCCGCTGCACAACGCACGAACGCACGCACACATGAACACGCGTACGTACTCGCAAACTCTCACTCATCCACTCACGTCTGCGGGGCACTCTGTGTCCTTGAAGACCATGTCTTTGCCGCAGTCCGGCGGCGCACACCGGCTTGCGAACGCTGCGCAGCCGCTGCTCCGGTCTATGCATGTGTTGGTTGTAGGGCAGCACGCCTCCGAGTCCGAGCAGCCAGTGCCCTGTCCGTAATAGAAGTCGTTCGTCGGCACGCAGGAGCTGCGGCGACAGCATAGGTTTGGCCACGAAGCGTCAAAGGCGTGTCAGAAGCTGGCGACGTGCGTACATATGCAGAGCGTCATGTGCTGTGACTGCTGAATGCGGCGGCTGTCGGCTGAGCACATTGAGTTGGAGGTGCTGGCTGCTGCTTGCCCGTGCCGTACGTGACGGCTGCTTGAACAAGAAACCTCAATTACCAACGTTTTATGCAAGGCATTCGAGCCATGCTGCATGGCACGCATAAGTGCGTTGCGCGCCAAGGTCGCAGTGCGCTCGGCGGTTTGCGCGTTTGACTCACGCGCCGAGACCCTTCGAGCTGCTGCTGAGCATTGTGCTGGGTTTCTCCGCTTCGCCGACCGTCACGTTTTTGGGAACGGGCCTGCTGCTCTTCGGCAAATCGTCCGCTGCTGAAAGTGCCACTGTTGACACGAAGCAGAGCAAGGCCGCTGCCACGGCCACCTGGCGCGCCATGGTTACAAACACAACCTGATAATAACAGTCAAAGAAACAGTATTGGCTCACGGTCGATTTATCAGATCCTGCGGAGGCTGTTGCCACTCCGTTGTGGTGCCGCTGGGTGGCCCGGCCAACGGATCGAATTTGCCAGGTGATACGAACGTTCTTGGCCTCAAACGTAAAATTGTGATCCCTTAGGGCACCCCCAAGGCGCCCCCGGCCAGTGTGGGCAGTTGGTGAGGCGCTGCGCTCCGGCGGGTTGCCACCCCTCGCCTGTGGCCAGGCAAGCGGCGAGTTTAACACCCAGCGGTGTGATAAGGTTTTGCCATGAGCCACCTTCAAAAAGTCATTGCCAGTGCTCGTCAGGCCAGGAACCAGTTTAGTAGGGTCAACGCTAGCACATGGCTGGTGAGGCGAGCTTCAACACACTGGGCAAGTGCGACCGACAAGCGCACACGTCCGTCATGACTGCAGAACTGAAAGATTGCCTACTGCACGATCCATCTGATCTCGGAGCATTGTTACAGCGATGAGCGATGGGGCCCAGCGCTGTGGCTCACCCCCTGGTTCAAGGCCATGTCGGCGTGAAGGGCCCCGCCTGCGCACGAGTCTCGATGTCTATGCTTTGCTTGCAGCTTAAGATGAGGCGGTGTGCCGCGGCTTTTTGGCACGCATACGCAACACCCTGCTGCGTGACTCCCCCACCCCGCACGTTGTTCATCCCTTCAAAGCGCTTGTGCTTACTCCTTGCAAGGACCAAGTGGTGGTGGATGCAGCATGGCAGCGACGAGCATGTCGTCAAGTTTGTTCCTCAACCACTCAAACAAAAGCATCAGACACATCTATCACCTTGCTCATGGCGAGACGGGAGTGATATTTAATGTACAGGGACGGTGATGGGACAGAGAGCCCGCAGATCGGGGCAGAGCGCGATACACACATGACAACCACCAAACTACAACCAACTTCCCTCGCTGCCTTGTTTGGCGCCGACCCTCTTTGCAAATGCAGGTTACCTGGGAAGGCATCCGCCTGGCCCCCGCTATGTGCGTCACGCCGCGGCGGCCTCAGCGAGCAGCTGCCGGGCGGCTTCCTGCCCCCCCGACCCCATCATGGCTGCGATTTCGGCGGCCCGCTGGTCGGGCGAGGCGAGCTCCTCAAACACAGTCTCTGTCCGGATGCCGCCGGATTTGGCTACGACGACGTGGTGCGCCGCGTGAGCCGCAACCTGGGCGGGTTCGAATCAGCGGCAGTGGGTCGGGTTGGCGGGGTCTCATCACTCAAAGCGCCTGCACCCCTTGTGCCCAAGCTGAAAGCACAGGGTGTTGCAATGCAGCCGTCGAGGCCACGCACCCACGGTGCTGTGAGCATGAGAAATGCACATGCTTTTGCGCTGAGGGGTACGCTGAGTGACGGAATGCTCGAGCCTGGCGTGGGGCGAGGCCCTCGACGGCGCACGTCCTCTGCAACCGCATGCTCCAGCAAGGGGCTTGCGATTGGCGCTGCCCCCTCCCCGCAGTACAAGCACCAGCCAGCAACCCAGCCCATGCACCTGGGGCAGGTGCGTGACGCACAGCACCTGGCTCGCCGCCGCCGCCGCCGCGTGCCCGCCGCCGCCGCCGACCGCGCCGCCGCCGGGCGCGCACATCCGCCGCAGCAGGCGGCCGACGTTCGCCCCCAGGCGGCTGCCCACGCCGCTGTCGAGCTCGTCCAACACGAGGACAGGCGTGGAGCCTTCTGCGCTGAATGACCCTTCCTCTGCCGGTGCGCCCTCCTCCTCATCGCTGACCTGGACATCTGCGGAAGCCTCTGCCTTTGCTGAGTCAGCGGCGCCGCCCGCGGCCGCAGGCAGCGAGCGCGCGGCCGCAGCGGCGCTGGCCGCGGCGGCAGCGGCGGCGGGCGCGGCCTTGAGGGCGAGCATCACGCGGGCGCTCTCGCCGCCGGAGGCGACGGCGGCGAGGGGGCGGAGGGGCTCAGACGGGCCGGCGGCGAGCAGGAATTCAACCGTGTCCAGCCCCTAAGAGTTTCGGCAGATCCGTCAGGTGGGTGTTCGCCTGGCCGTTGGCTTGTGGCTGGCTGAGTGACTTCATTGGCTGTGTAATGCAGCGCATGCACTTGGAAAGCAAGCTGACGCATGCAGCTGCCTACGGGTCTTGCAAGCCCACGCACCTGCGGCCTCAAGCGGTAAGCGCCGCCCCTGGCCTGGCCCACGGCGTGCGCCTGTTCCTCGCCAATGTGCAGGCACTTGGAGGGGGCCACGCCCTGGGAAGGGCGATTGCGCATTCAAGCATGCAGCGTGCGATTCGGTGCAATTGGCGCAGGCAGATGCCTGTGCACTCGTGCTGGGCTGGAGGACCGTGGGGAGTGGAAGAGTCTGGCGAGCAATCCCCGGCCCCGGGAAAACCGCATGGCTGTCCTTGGCCGCGCGGGTGCTGGTGTGCATCTTCGACGCGTCCCCATGAAGACCCGCAGCCTGCAGCGGAGCATGCAGCAAGCAGCTCTGTAACCTGCTCCTTCAAACAATGCATCCTCGCCTCCTGCATCCGTGGCACCGCCTTCAGCAGCAAACAGGCGCGGGCTGAACGCTCAGGCAACCCACCGGGTGGGCGGGCTCCCAGGATGTGCGGACGTCAAAGCGGCAGCCGCTCATAGCCAGCTGCCCCAGGCACTCCTCCACGGCCACCCGCAGCTGCCCCGCAGCTGGTGATTCAGCGGGTCAGGGCAAGCGGGGGTGGGCACTTGGTGAGTGCGTGAGCGAAGCGGCCCGCCGGCGTGGCGAGGGGGACCGTGAGGCGCAAAATGGGCATCGTCATGACATGGCGCGGTGACCTACGCACCCACGCCCTCTTTCCAAAGAAAGCACGTTGCAGCCATGACTTGCGTTGGATCGGGCTCCGCGTCGGGGGCGTGAGCGCCCGCTTGCCGGCAACGTGGCGCTGCGGCCGCGGCGGGCTCACCCGCTTGCCGCGCCGCCGACAGGCGCAGGGAGTCCCTCAACAGCTGCCCCTGCAGCACCGCCGCCTCCGCCTCCCACTCCCCGCGGCGGCCTGGGGCGGGCGGGGCCCGCGGCGGCTGAAGTTTGCTAGGGCATGCAAGCAAGCACTGGGGGGGCCGCGAGCTCTCCCAGGCTGCTCGTGGCTCTACCCTGACTCTTGTCCTTAGCCCTGGAACCCACATACAATGACATGCCGTACGAACCCCCAAACGCGCGTGGTTCAGTTGACGCCGTCGGCTCAGCACAAACCCATGCAAACCCCAGCGGGATGAGAGCGCAGTCGGCGCACCCTCTGCGTCGTAATACTGCTCCAGCCGCGCCCGCGCCGCGGCGACCGCGTCGAGCAGCGCCTCGCTCGTCCGCGCCCGCTGGCTGCGTATCAGGCGCTCGACCAAGTCGAGCCGTGCGGCCGCGGCGGCGTGGTCGGCGGCGCTGAACGCGTGGCGCTGCGGGGAGGAGGGGGGGAGGGGGGTGAGGCATGCGGTCAAGCGCGGCGCGGCTGAGCGAGGCTGAAAGAGGTGATGAGCCAAGCTGGGGGCGACAACAGGCGCCGGCGCCGCGGGGCGGGCGCGTCCGACGGGCGCGCGGTCGCCGGCGCGCGCGCGCCTCAGATGCATAATTTGGGCGCGAAAAAGCAGAGCCCGGGAATGTTTGCTCGTGCAGCGCCCTTGAGCCAATCCACTCCAGCTCGGACACCAGTTGAGAGCGCAGCCTCGCACGTCTCTCTCGTGGCTCGCCCCGTGCTCCTGCACACGTGCCCCCGCACGCGCGCACGCCCACCTGGGCGTACGCGGACAGCCGCTCCGCTGCCCGCAGCAGCGCCGCGCGCGCGTCTACTAGCGCAGCCGCCGACGCCTCCAGATGCTCCAGCCCCGACGGCTCGTGGGCCCCATCCTCGTCATCCTCCTCCTCTTCATACTCATCCTCGTCGTCGTCGCCGGCGATGACGCCATCATCCCCGCCGCCCGGCTCGCGCTGATGACGCCCGCCGCCGCTCGAGGCCGCCGGGTTGCCGTTGGGCGAAGCGGTGGTGGCCGTCGGGCAGCCGTTGCTAGTGGCGGCGGCGGCGGAGGGCGGCGCTTGGCCGCGGCGGCGGTGGGAGGGGGCGGGGCTGTTTGACGG